CTAAGATTCCTCTACTTTCATCAGTTGTTATCACTCTCGGCTTCCCAGTAAATCAAGAGTGTGATCTGGCTGTCTAATGGAAGAAAACTATTAGAGACAGCGGTGTCAACTATCTATGTTGGCCTTTTAGTCTACAGCTCGGAATATACAACGTGTATTAAAAAAAAAATAATAGACTTCATGCAAAAGATTAGTGATGGTCATTTCATTCACTGGGCTAATAGCCAACTTGTCTCCAAGTTTAATACTGAAGAGTGATTCTTAATATTAAACTCTAATACTATTCTTGTAATGGAATCATGAATTTTATTAGCAAAACCAAGGACATACTGCATACTTACTTTGAAAGCTAATGTTATAAAATTACTGGAGCTACTACATTATCTCACTATGTAGTCAATGCACCCAACCAATAAAACTAATAAAATAAACCCCGTACTAGCAGGGGAAAATTGAGACCTCACTCAACTTTTACATCTCTATCACCAACCTACCAACCTCCTACACAATTTGGTACCTTGCATAAATTCTAAATCGCATACAAACTAAAGCCCAAATAAGACTAGGCAACCTGCTTTTACAAATGCACCCTTTTAGGAATGGCTAGGAATTACTTCCACTTTCCCCTTAAACAATTTTCATTGATTCAGAAGCGTATCTCTCTATGAAGGCACAGATGTGAACACAATAGCAAAATGCTCGGCGAAATCAATGCATCCAACCAGGCATAAAACACTGAAATTGAGGGAAATAGTGAAGAGAAGATTTGGCTTGGCACCCTAACCCAAATGGGTTGTCATCATTCAATTCCCAACCCTCACTTTTGGGGGTATCACTTATCCACTGACCCATCTCTTACGGAATCTCTGTTTTTCTTCTCGGAAAGCATTCTGGCAGTTTCTAGAGTACTGCAGGACTTTTGGGATGAGATCTAGGATCCACTACGAGTAACCTGTGGATAGGTTCTTGAGTAAGGGCAGGTTTAGGCAAAAAAATAAATATATACAGAGGTGGTGAAAGATGGCAAGGATTCAGGCGAGGTCTATTTGTAAAGGAGATGAAGGAAAGGAAAGAGGAAATAACCCTAATAGATACACTCAGGTTTCTTACCCCATATCAGTTATTAAGTTTTAAAACTGCGGGTTAAAAAGGTTAGAGATATATGTGCTCCAAAGTCCCTTGAATTTTAAAAACATGCACTAAAATAAATGAAACTTGATGAATTTTAAGTTATTACAGCTATTTATAACAGCCAGTGTTGCACTATTAAGTATTAAAAGAATCGGCTCTGAGAACATTAGATGATTAAAAATAAAAAAAATAAAAAACAAAAACAAAACAAAACAAAAACCCTTCCAAAGCCTATGGGCTTGATTCTGCTGCCATTCCTATTAAAAGCCTTGAGAACACAAACATGAGGCTCAAGTGCTATCAGCAGAATTTAGATAGTGAGAATTTTTCTAGGCTCCTAACCTGTAAGAAGATCGATGAAATGTTGGCTTCCAGTCTATTACCAGTGCTGATCCAAGTACCATTTGAAAATGGTCTTCTCACTGGTGACACCCCAAATTTAGAACACCAATGCACTGCCTCTGCTGACACCAATGCACTGCCTTTTCTAGTGGCAAACTGAAATATTTCTCTATGCACAGAGCTTTTGAAGTAATTCTTGAATCCCACTCTATGTTTACAATTCAACGTATTATCAAGATTGTCAGGCATAGGAATGTTTTGTGAGTTGACACTTATTTTATTGTATCTATTTTTTCCTGATCTAAAGCTTTAGGATAAAGGTATGGTACACGAATTCCCAAAACACCTGTAGAATAGAATCCAAGACGGAATTTACAGAGGTGAAGCTGAAAAAATGCAAAACAACTGCAGATTGTCAGCTCTTGTAGAGAGAAGCAAGTAAAAATGGAATCTACACTACCTGAGGGATTAAGCAGTAATTTATAAAAATTAGATTCCCAATGAAATCACAATTTGTTCAGAGAAAATCATCTCGACCAGCTATGACAACAATGCATTTTTTCCAGCCCAAATGTAGGTGAGGAAACTTTGACCATACTAGAGTTACAGAAGCAATAAGTAAGAACTGTGGCAGGATCAACTTCCTTCAAAGTTTTGCTTCAGATTTTTTTTTTTTTTTTTGGTATTCCTCTCAGGGAAGTATATTTTAAATAAAAAATTGTTTTATCTCCTTCAGTATTTTAATGAGATTCCTCCCTGTTGCCACTTATGGGTTAAGAAAACGCGTCCACTGCAATCATCTCTGGTCAATGCCTTGTGAAGAACTGGTGCTTAAATAATATGTCCCCAAGGAGGCCAAAATCTACTCCCTGACACCGTGATGGTGAACCTATGGCACGTGTGCCACAGGTGGCATGCAGAACCATTTGTGCGGGCATGTAAGCCCCAGGCAAATGTACCTCACTGTGTATGCGTGTGCCCCCCAGCTGATTTTCAGGGCTTTTTTGGCCTCCCAGAGGCTTGAGGGAAGCCTCTGCAGCCTTTAGAGGCCGAAAAAACAGGCCTGTTTTGTCACTTCCTGTATTTCCAGAAATACCGGAAGTGATGAAATGGGCCCATTTTTTGGCCTCCAAAGGCTGCAGAGGCTTCATCGAGCCTCTGGGAGGCTGAAAAAGGCCTGAAAATCAGTTGGGAGGCACATACATGTGCAGTGCAGGTAAGGGGGCAGTGTAGGGGAACAATCATGTGCACATGTGCAGGGGGCATGGGGAGCTGCACACATTGCCTTCTGGGTGCTGGCATGTGAGTGAGCGTGCGTGAACGCGGGCACAAGTTTCGGCATAGGAGCCCCAAAAGGTTAGCCACCACTGCTCTGACATATCTTTCATCCAACTTGGGATTTGAAAGTACTAATGTGATATGCCTTGCAGATGTTCATTGTAAGTATGTGGGTGTACACAAAAATTCATCCTCTCATGATGGTTTAAAGGGTTCTATTCAGGTTTGCTGGAACACAACTCAGTTCAACCAAGAACCTGAGTACAGGTCGTCCTCAACTTACAACAGTTCGCTTCATGACCGTTTGAAGTTAGAACAATACTGAAAAAAAGTGACTTGAGAGCATTTTTCACATTTATGACCATTTTAGCATCTCCACGGTCACGTGATTTACATTTGGATGCTTGGCAACTGACTCGCACTTATGATGTCTACAGTGTCCCGGGGTCATGATCCCCGTGATCCCCTTTTGTGACCTTCTGACAAGCAAAGTCAATAGGGAAACCGGAGTCACTTATCAACCGTGTTACTCACTTAACAACTGCAGGGACTCCCTTAACAAATGTGGCAAGAAAAGTCATAAAATGGGGCAAAACTCACTTCACAAATTTCTCTCAGCGTTGGGCTCATTCAAACAGAAGTGGTCTCTCACTTTTTGATCGTGTTTGAAACGCCAGGAGTGGACAGCAGCCTAGAGACCATATCCAAGTAGTTTTGAATCCTCTTGAGAAACAAGCTGAACAAATGCAGAAGCCTAACTTGTATGGGAAAGAGTAATGAACCCTTTGGTCTGAATAATCTGGTGTTCCTTTGACAAACCAGCAACTATTTGACACATCTGATGTAGCACAACATGCAGAATGTCCCCCTGAAGGAACAGAAAATTAGGGTCGGGTATTTTAAGGTAATTAACCATAAAAATGCAGTGAGCACATGTGATGGAATTTGCTATAGTGGGCAGGATTTTTTGAATGCCACTTTATTGTTTCTATAAGTGCTTAAAACCTTTGCTTACCGGAACATAGGCGATGCATTAAATCAAGTCACAATGTTAATCAGTTTAGCTCGGTGTGGTCATTCCACATTAACTGGCAAGAGTACTCTGAGATTAAAGGCAGATATGTCCTACTTTTGTTTTTTTACTAGTGATGTCTTTATCATGTAAAATTACTGAACTATCTGATTTTTCTTGAACAAGGTGCAGACAGGATGCTAATTTGCTTGCACTCCCTAACAGAATTTCACAGTGACATCAACTGGAATAAACTGTAGAGATACACAGAGGAAAGCAATCCATGGAGTGGACTATTATGTTGTTTTCAGAAGACTATTATTAAGGCTTTCCCAAAAGAGATGATTACATTGGAGGCATGTTAATTCTTCCCTCTTCCACATTTAAATAAAAATATTTTGAATCGAAAGAAAGTGGCAATAGAAAAGGAGCATGTAACTAAATTGTGACTGGTGCATGTTTGTTATTAATGTTCAAGCAGACTTTGCTAATGGAGGAATTTGTTTACAGGATCTGCTATGTCAGAGATTAATTTAGTAATATAGTATACTGTATCACTATTTAGTAATATAGAATCCCATTATAGTAAAAGTTAATTTGCTATATGAAAATTATTTGAGTCCATTCTTGAAAACTGATTGAAAGATTCTTCTCAAAGTAATCAACAGTATGGAATTAATACTGCTTTAAAAAGAAATTATTAATTTGGTTCATGAAAAAAATAGCTAACTGATGAGAGCAGCCTTCCCCAACCAGATGCCCTCTAGATGTGTTGGATTTTAAATTTAATAATTCCCAGTCAGCGTAACCCACAGGAGAAGAAATCTAGCATTATCTGGAAGGCGAAAAATTGGGGAAATCCTAGATTAGCTTGGTAATTTAAGGTCTTGATGGCCAAAGATAATTCAATCCATTAAGGACATGCAGCTAACATGATCAAGATTCTATTGGCTTGAGTTTTGAAGTGTTTTGGTATTGAATCTTGACAGATTCTTTACAATAAATGTTAGGCAACTGTTAGGCTCCTTAGGCCATCAAAAAGCTTCTACATATCCATTAATTCATCTCTTAGAAAGAGAAGGAACTAGATCCTGCTACAAGGTTCTTGTGTAAAGAAGGTAAGTGTGGAAACTAGAGAAGAGAGGACAGTCCATGTTTCCCATGTTTACCTGTGACGGATGAAAATTGTAGGATTAAATACAGATGGCTATTAAAATAAAGAAAATCAGTTACTTACACAGTTTCATCATTCTTGAATTCCAGCTCTCCATAACTGTCTTCAAAATCCTCTCCACCTCCTTTTGCTGTTCCTTCAACTGTTCTAAAGGGGACTATGACTGTACCCCGTGCACCAGATGTTCTAAGAACTTTCACCTCCATCACCCCAATGCTCTCACTGATATGTATCACACCGCACTCGAAGGTGAAGATTCCTGCATGGTCATCATCTAAGATAGTCACAGTAGCCACACAAGGTGAGACCAGTATGGCCTTGGGATATGGCAGTTTGTTGAGTTCAGGAGGTTCCTCTGCATCAATCACCCGTAGATTGCTAAGACGCACAAAAAAGTGCTCATCCTCTTCAAAGATATCGTCATCAATGATCCCTATGGAGAACTCTTTCTGGGTCTCCCCAGACTTCAAAACAACTGTCCCTTCTGTAAATTCGTAGTCAGCCCCAGCATTAGCAGAGCCATCTTCTGTTTTGTAATCCACATATATGGTCTTGGAGACATCACCTCCTTTCCGGACAACAGTTAGGAGGACAGCACCACAGTTCTCAAGACACTGATAGGAGCAAGGATCAAAATAAATTTTGGAGATGAATTCTTCTGGCTCCTCTGGCCGTACTTCATGCAAGCTAGTGCTCCTCTTGGCTTGCTCAGCGGCATGCTTTTTGAGAATATTTCCTGCTCCAGTCATCATCCTGGTAGCTTGAATCCGATAGAATGCTCTGCTTTTTTGCTGATGGGATAAAGCATAGTAGTTGGCCATTTCTACCAGCTGATCTAAGTCTTTTTCTGGGTGCTTTTGTTTCAGGTCCTTAAGGATCCGGATCATCTCTTTGCGAGACTCATCCACCTCTTTCCCCTCTATAGGCACTAGGTTTCCATCTAAAAAATGGGAGTTCATCATCTTACCATCCATTTCAATCCCTTTGAGGTGATCCCCTTCTGTTTCAATGATAATACCCCTGTGTTTGTCAGTACGGTACTTTTTGTGCATATATTTATAGAGAAACATCCTTCTGTCTGCAATCCAAGCCAGGATGACACAAACAGGGAAGAAAAACAGAGTGAGCAAGCCTTCCCATACCTGAACCACACCTGGAGAAAAGACCGCAAGGATCATGTATAGCCAGATATAGGCAAAGATGCTCCAAGCAGCTGTGACAAAGAAAACTCTCAAATGTTTTATCTTCCTTGTCTCCCCATCAGGAATGACATAAACACAGATGGCTATGATGATAAACATATTGAAAGCGGCACTACCAACGATGGTAGAAGGGCCCAGCTCACCGGCAATGAATCCATGACCACATACCTCTATCAATGACAAAAGGATCTCTGGGGCAGAGGAACCAAGAGCCATGAGGGTCAAATTGGAAACAGTTTCATTCCATATTCGGATGGTGGTGGTGATGGCTTCTCCGTTGGGTTTCCTGACTGTAATCTCTTTCTCCTGGGATGTAATGACCTCTATGGAAGCCATGAAACGGTCGGCAATGATAGAAACTCCAAGAAACATATATATGAGTGCCACAAAATAAACAATAACTCTGGCAATTTTGTCCCCCAAGGATGGGTTTTCTGGATACCATATTGGCAAGATAACACCCTCCTTGCACTCTGAAGAACCAGAGCATGTGTTGTTATGTCCTACGTTTGGTGAATCTGTCCCTGTGCCAGCATCTACTTGTAGACCATGTAAAAATAAGACAAAAGTAAAAAGCCCAAACCGGAGGAAGGCTGAGGTGACAGGTTGTAACTTTAACCGCGCCATACACAAGGCTTAACATCCACAGTACAGGAGCAAAGGTCTTCTGTTCAGGTTAAGAATCTGAAATAAAGAGATTAAAACCATGAGACTGAAAGAAATAAAATTGACATTGTAATTAATGCAATTAATATTAATATGTTCTGTTATTCACAACTAGTTACACTACTTTATGTATAGTAATCATATTTGGTTAATTTTACATGGATCACGTGAGATTGAATTATCTGCTTATCAGTAGAATAGAGGGAAACTGTCTATACTGAGCACAGAATAATCAACCCTTGTTATTTAGCTTAGACATTAGTATCTTGATATCAGCTGAATTGTTATCAAAGAATCACATCAGCTATTCCAATTTTGCCCAAAAGCAAGATAATATGATACATTGGCACTTGTTTATGATATAACCCTATGAATTTTGGTTAGAATAAAATCCTAGTAATTCCTAGTAAAGAGCTCCAAAATGTTGTGAAGCCAACACTAACTTTAAATGACTGCAACTCTACCACCAAGGAGATTGGACTGAAAGATCCCTTCTAAGACACTCAATCAACTCAGTGCCTGAATAAGAAGTTGAATCTCAGTTTCCCCAATTCAGCCTTCCCTGAATTGGTCCAAATCTAGCATCTTAACCAGATTTTGTCCTGATTTGAATGGTATGAGTGGATGTCCATCTTGCAAGGTAGTCCAGACAAGAAGCACATCCAGAAGTGCTCACTGTATCATTATGGTATATTACACAATCTTGCAAGTCTAAAAGTAGATATCTCTTCCCTCACCTTCACAGTTCAAGAAACTAGGGATGGTCTCTTTTTAGAAGTTTACCTACACCTATTCTTTCTGTGGGTTCAGCTGCCCCCTTATCTGACTATTGCCTACTCTGCCACTCTTTCTTCTGTCTTTCAATTTTATTCTCACATACCAGTGCAGTTGCTCTAACAACATTGAGGGTGTGGTATAGATATTTAAAATGAATGAATGAATGAATGAATGAATGAATGAATACAGAACAGATTCAATATTTCAGAAAATGATAATATTTTCTGTTAAGAACTGGGTGTCCACTTGAAGATCAGACAGGACACAGATCTTATTTGAAGATGTAATACGACGTAGCTAATTGTAACTCAAGTCTACTCTCTTTTCTTTTTTATGGAAAGCATCACCAGAGAAGGTTGGCAAAACATCAGTATAACATATGGCTTCTTATACTGACTACCGCACAGTGAAGTTAAGCTGCAGCGCTAAAAATAAATCCAATTTGAAATAAACTCTAACATCTATATATGAAATAGTGTTTAGGTTGAGTATACTAATTTTAATCCCAGAATTGAAAAATGGTTTTCTAAAAAGGTTTTCCTAGGGTGATGTCTCTTGATATGTATTCCAGATATGATGGACTAGAGCTGACAAAATCCTTAGTTCACAATTCTGGGAGCTGTAACTCAACGAATCTAAATTGGGAAAAGCTGTTTTAGAAAATTCTGTAAAATTTAGGACAGCCTCACAGTGAAACAACAATTAAACAATTAAAAAAATGATTATACAAGGTAGTCCTTGACCTATGTCTCTAATTCAGCCCAATATTTATGTTGTTAAGTGAGACATTTGTTAAGTGAGCTTTGCCTCATGTTACGGCCTTTCTTGCCACAATTGTTAGGAGAATCACTGCAGATTCTTAGTAACAAGGTTGTTAAGTGAATCTGGCTTCTCCATCGACTTTGCTTGTCAGAAGGTCGCAAAAGATGATCACATGATCTTGGGACACTGCAACCATCATAAGTATCAGTCAGTTGCCAAGCATCTGAATTTTGATCACATGACCAAGGAGGTGCTGCAAGGAGGTCATAAAGTGTGAAAATTGGTCATACGTCACTTTTTTCAGTGTCACTGTAACTTCGAATGGTCATTAAATGAACTGTTGTAAGCCATGGGCTACCTGTAGTTGGCCAAGTTGAGGGGAGAAGAAGCAAAAGACAACAGATAAAACGGGAGGATTGAGTCAAAGACTTATTTCTAGCAAGCAGTTGTCTGTGTAATTGTCAGGAGTCAGTGGCATCTAACTAACTCATGTCCAGTGGGCTAAACAAGCTGTTTTGACATTTGAGGCCAATTACCTATAAGTTCTTCTTGCTGATAGTCCAAATGCAACATAAATAAATTAAATGTTATGGGTTGCCCTTTCATGGTATTCCAAATGTCTTGTTCTGTTAATAATATGGATGGACAGCTCCATTAACATTGTCAACATGGAGAAATACACACCATTTTTAATTTTTGAGCCATCAATACAGATAGCAAAATCAGCAGGGGTTGTGTGGGGTGAGGCAGGAGCCTAGAAAATATTCATGCTGCCTTGAAAACTCCTTCCCTCCTCAGGAATTCAATCTCGCAGTTTGAGAAGCAGATTCAAAACGGCCAAGGCCTATATAGCCAAGGCCCATCTACTGTTTTCTGAAGTTTGAATTTAAACAATCTGTATGCAGGCTCAAATAGTCCGACATTCCTATTTGGGGAAATGTTCAGTAGCATCGTTAGAGGAACTTTATGCACATGGAACGAACTAGTTTATATGCCTTATCATAGACCGAAAATACAGGTTATCAAAAATGCAAACAAAATGTAATATAAAGTACATTGCAAGAATCATTGGAATATTATTAGTGTAAACAGGTATATCTAAAAGGGCAGTTTTCTCACTGAGTTGCCTAACTCACTTCTTCCTAAATATCAACGATTATTGATGTTTAATATCAATTAATAATAAAAAATACAAAATCTTCCAGACTATTTAATGAGAACCAAAAGTAGAAGAAAGGAACAAATAATGATACCAATGGAAAGAAAACAGGGCTGACAAAGTGAAGGAAACAGGGCATAACTGATTTTGTAATATCTGGATCACAAATTCATGTGAAGCAGTCTTGAGATGGTTGAAGATTGAAATGAAATAACACATCTTCTAGGCTAAGATTTCTCAACTCTTGGTCTGTAGACGGCTGCGGCATGCCAGAAACTGGGCCATGCAAATTAGTGAAGCCTCACTTCGGTCCGCAGAAAAACCTCTTTGTGTGGAAATGGTTCCTGGTGCCCAAAAGATTGGGGGCCACTGTTCTAGGCATTACACTGATTGTTTCAGACATGACCGATTCTTTCTGCCTTCCTCTCTGAAAATCCAGTCACTTATTTCCTTTTTCAGTTTAGATCTGATTTTCTAGAGATGAGAGATTAAGACTACAAACAAGAATATGGGGCAAAACCTCAAGTCCTCTTTTTAATTAATCAAAGTATATGAATGTTGCTGGAAGACTCAATGACAAATACTTTTAAGAGAGGTAGAAGACACATTTCTGTGCTCCCACAGTATGCAGTGACGAGAATTTCCAGTGCTACAAGTAAGACTGGAAGACAATGTTCTTTTACTGAAGATAAATATGTGAGTCGAGATCTGGTGAAGTGTAGCTCAAGATTAAGCTTTCAGCCAGCAGCAACTGTGGTGTAATATCACTCATAATCCTTAGGGACAAATAGCCTTCGACAAAGAAAGGGCCAATAATTTTCAAATTCCACAGGGACATATTGTATGCCAATCTGTAACTGGAAACATATAAACATCAAGAATCCAAGGGCACACTAAAGACTAACTGGTGGCGCAGATTTCCAAAAACTGGAGACTATCATTAAAATCCTTGATCCTCACAGAAAAGATTAAATATATATGTGTATACCGTAACTATTTTTCTAAACAGTCACAAAATGCAACAGCTTCCACTTGTTTTCAATTACTGGACGAGCATACAATATTGAAATAATCTCATAGATTTTAACAGTATAATAATTCTTCAGCTTTGTATTGACCAACATGGTAATTCTTAAAGAGATTAGGGGAACTGTTAGGGAATGACAGGGCCATCCCAATTTAAAAGTTTATTGTGTAAATATGTTCAAGATCATGCCCAGATTGTATACCACTTCACTTGAATCAGGTGCTATCAGATACCTAGTTACCCTTCTTAAGGACATAAGAAAAGTCCATCTAATCCAGGATGGCCAACCAGATACAATCAGGAAATTCACAATAATAGCCCTATATTCTTTTCCCCCAAAACGCTTATCTAAAGTTGCCTGTAATTAGGGACATGCTAGTAGAAAAAAAAATAGTTGTCAGTAGTCCTGATCTTTTTGAATTTCTGTAGTCCCCTTTTAAAATCCTGTAAAATTGTAATCATGTCTGATGGTAGTGAGTTCCACAGTTAATCTATGTCCTAAGGTGTTTACATTTTAAATTTGCATCATTCCATACATCTTTCCAAACACTCGAGCTTTCCACTTGCTTCCTGTTTAGATATTCCAAATAAAGATATAAACATATTTGGAAATGTTGCTTGTCTAGAGAAATGCACAATCTTAGCTATATGTTTGACTTATGTGAGCCAACTGCCTGTACATTGTTGGCAGCAATTCCATCTCTTCTCAATATCCCTTTAAATTATGAAACATAACAATCAAGAGGCCAGGAATCCTCAGACTTTTGGGGCCGATGAGTGTATTTACAGTTTTGGAACATAAGGTGTTGTATAATGAGAGTTTATTTTGGAACATAATATGGGCACTCTCACAAAAGGGCATCACCGCTTACAAAGTATGCTCTCTACCAGATTTTCCAACTTGCCCACCACAGAATACTCTTCATTCCTTCATTTACAATTGGACACCCTTCAAAAAAGCACTGAACCTCAGCCACCTATCATGTTCAATGGAGGCTTACAATGTCCATTGAAGCCCAGAGGCTTTTGGGAGGTGGGGGGAGGGAAACAAAGAAGACTGGACTTCAAAGTCTTTCACTTTCTCATTTTTACTTATGTAATATTAAAAAAAACAGGAAAAAACAGGAAGGTCAGATTAGTGGCTGCCAATGGAGACCTCATCGGCATCTTGTCGATTATAGATGCCATGTTTGGAATCCAAACACTTCGTTAATAACTTTCTAAAATCAGCAGATA